GGGCAAGGCTGGAGGACTTTGGGTGGGAGTTGGAGGTCTTTAGATGGGAGTTGGAGAACTTTGGGTGGGGCTGGAGGACCTTGGATGGGGGTTGGAGAACCTTGGGTGGGGCTGGAGGACCTTGGATGGGGGTTGGAGAACCTTGGGTGGCCTTGGAGGACCTCGGGTGGCCTTGGAGGACCTCAGGTGGGGGGTTGCAGGACCCTGGGTGGGCCCGGAGTGCCTATGGGTGCTGACGGCCATCTTGCCCCACCCCCAGGCCCGCCTGACCTGCCCGTGCTGCAACGCCCGCAAGAAGGACGCCGTCCTCACCAAGTGCTTCCACGTCTTTTGCTTCGAGTGCGTCAAGAGCCGCTATGACACGCGCCAGCGCAAGTGCCCCAAGTGCAACGCCGCCTTCGGCGCCCACGACTTCCACCGCGTCTACATCAGCTGAGCCCCGCGGCGCCCGGCGGCACCCATGCGTGCTCCGTGGTCAACCATGGGTGCTCCTTCTCCGACCGTGGGCCTTGGAGGTGGGTCAACGCCGCCTTGGAGGACCATGGCTTCCTCTGTGTCTGCGTTAGTTGAACCCGTTGGTGATCCACAGCCACCCATGGGTACCCCACGAGACCTATGGGTGCCCCATAGCGACCCACAGCACCCATGGGTGACCTCTGGGTGGCCCCGCCCCCTTCCCATCCCACCAATAAAGCGCTTGGAGCTGCGGGCATGGTTGCGTGTGGCTGCTGGGGGGACCCAGCACCTAAGGGGCGGGGCGAGACCATAGAGAGGCAGGGGAGAGGCTCCAGAGAGGCCATGTGACCATAGAGATGAAGGGAGGTGGCTTTGAGTACCCCATGGTACCATAGAGAGTGGGGGGAAGAGGTACCGGAGTGTCCGCATGGCCACAGAGACTGGGGGGGGAGGGCCTAGAGCGTCCTATGGGACAGCAGAGACGTGGTGCCACACTGGTAACCATAGAGCGCTGGAGAGCACGTCTCCTAGAGTGCCCTCGCGGGAGACCATTGAGTTGGAGGACCTCCCTCCTAGACTGCCCCAGCGGAGCCCATAGAGTTGGCGCCGCCCTCCCCTGCTAGACTGTCCCACCTTCGGATGATAGAGACGCGGAGCACCTCCCGCGTAGACCGTCCTCTTCAGCGACTATAGAGGCGTGGGGGGCCTCCC